CTAAATAAATAATTTTGTTAAAAATGTTTTAAATTTATAATTTTTTAGATTTTTTATGAGTTTTTAAAACTGTACTACCGGTAGTACAAAGGGCGTGCTCCTAACCATTAAGGTTAGGATTAGAAATATAGCGCTTGTTAGTAAAACATCACGAAGAACATTTTTAATTAGATCGCAGAAGGTCGATTAACTGAGGTTGGATCGGATGATCGTCCGGATAGATAAACAGGGGTTAATCCTATAGGCTAACTTTCTTGTGATTGATAGAGCTTTATGATTGGTTGTATGCGCAACCATGTGACAATCAGCCAATAAAATTATACTTGTGAAATTAACTCTACTGTACCACTATAATAAAAGAGCGAAAAGGATACAGAAACATGTGATTCGTCCACATTTCAAGAACTTTATATATATTGAGCTTTGATATTTTTGATTTGCTAAAATTAATTGTAAATAAATTCCTAATTCATGTTAGGACTAGTCTTTAAGGTTAGAATTAGGGTTTGGGAAAAGGGGCGTAGAGCATTTTACTTAAGCATCTCACACTGATTAGTTTGCCAGTTTTGATTAAAAAAGAGGTTTTTTTAGATAATGCTCTATAGTATTTATTATTTCATATTTAAATCAAATAATAAATATTGATTTATTATTTATTTTTATTTGGTTATATGATAGGTGGTAAAACACCATATGTGCATTTTAGTAAAAGTGTAATAATATATTTTAGTACATATATTAATCTCTCCTACAAAGCTTCAAGAATAAAAGCTATAAACAAAAGGAATACGTGCATCATTGCATAACATTATGAGTACAGAGCACATAATTATCAAAATTACATAGATACGTTACATTAAGAACAAATTTATAAAGTTCATTTTGGCTCTAATTGCGCTTAAAATGTAATTTATATACATAAATACTAGGTCCTTTGCTATGCTTCAGAAAATAAAAAAGTATTTGTTTTATACTAATCTTGATACATACTTGAGGTGAAATTTTAGATCAATTCATATAAGAATTATGTATAAATACGAATTTGTGGCAATAAAAATACAATAAAAAATTTTTAATACTTTTAGTTTATTTTTTTTAAACCTCTAATTCAAACCATCATTGAAGCAGGCAGTAATCAACAATGATAATAGCATACAGATTTTAACAAAAAAAAAACAAACCTTGAAAATGAGATAATGCCTAATATTTCAATTAATGATAGAATTCCAATATTTTATATGAACAAAAAAGTGCATGCAATCTCTACTTATTATGATACTTTTGCAAATTCTAAACGGTCAGTTCCCAAATATTCTTACTATTCAATGGTTTTACTGCTGCAATGTTTCGTGCCTATAATCATCATCAACATTTACGTTTGAACCCTAATGATATTTGGCTTACGATTGATCAAGGTGTTAGTCATCATATTAATTATAGTGCAGAGAAATTCCATAAGAAATTCGTTCAACATGAAGAAAAAGAAGATGTTAAAATCAATGCTGGCGATATCTTAGACCTAATTCTACTTAAAAATACCATTGAAGTAATTGGTCAGAAGCATAAACAGACTTATTATAAAAACTGACAAACGAGTGAAAAAAATTGATCTTGCACAATAATTGGAATGTGATTTCTCTACAACTTCAAGCTCTTTAACAGCAAGTTGTATCGTATTATTAGATATGATTAAAGCTTATCTTAATTATAAGTTATTCTCGGGTGTGGAGTTCCAAAAGTTACACTTGAAGTTACACTCGAAGATTGGATAAAGCTTCAGAAAAATGACATTAAGAAACTTAAATTTAGAATTAGACTTTTGGCTGGATCGTCTTGAACCTGTGATTTGGAAATTAGTTTAAATGAAGACTTTTGGAGTAGAGAAGCTATAATTAAAGGATGGATTTCAGCTTTTTTTCCTTATACTCGTGCAGGAAATGCTTTATATTTAAATTTTTTAGATCACTTTGAACTTTAGGCCTTTAAAACATTTTAGATTTTGGGTGCGTTTACATGCCAACGGCCATGTTTATGTGACTATTGGCACGTCCACACGGCCATAAAAATGTTTATGTGCCCATCTCTGAGTCATTTCTTGGTGATTATGCAAATATGTCATTATAACGGGTCCAAACGGCTACGTTGACGCTTCCACTGGCGCGTCTAAGTGCCTTGAGTAACATATATATGATTAAGCCACTGAGCCAACCATCACTACCATTTTAGTATAAGTTATAAAATAATCAAAAGAAATTAATAAATATACTAAAATTGGACATTGTTACCAAAATGGATAAGAAATTACTAATAAACTATTACTATGTACATGCAGATGATTTACCGAGAAAGATATACAAAAATATAGAAAGTAAATTCTAACTCATTACAATATATCTAGAGGTACCTCCAAATCCATTTCCATCTTTAAAATTCGCTTCAAAATATCCGGGCTTGGAGGTGATATATGATCAAAATAATTAACCGCAAAATTTAGATATTCTAAAGTTAAAGTTGTCTCATGTAAAACTACGTGTGCAAAGTTTGCTAAATTGCAACGGTGTATTATAAGGTCGTAATGACTCTGTTCCATAGGATCAAAATTGTTTTTTTTTGATAAAATATTCTTCTTTTATTAAAGAGAATTTCACACCTATTACACAAGCTAAATAATCAGTTTAAGATATACAGTAAAGAAAATACACAGATTTAAAATATAAAATACTTAACCCTTAAATTGTTTCCAAGAACGGTTTGCTTCTTCTTGAAGGTCAGGACGGGTGTTATTCCGAATAAGTTGATCAAACACCATTAGTCTGCCTTTTAGAGCATCTGACGCCAGTAAATCAAGAAAGTTCATATGGAAGGTTTTTGTGCGATACATGAGTATAAATTTAATAAATGCAGTTTATTAGAGAAAATCTCATAAACACTATGAAATAAATACTGAGATAAATACTGAGAGATAAACACTACACTATGGATAAGTTTTAATTCGTAGCATTATACAGAAACTTATGCTTATATTAGGAAAATTTAGCCCCTAGTGCTAGATTTTCTAAATATGACTTTTTTTTGCAAAAAGGAAATGATTTGCATTACACGGATTTGAAAAATCTGACTGGATTTTCCTTAATAGTGTTATGGACTAGGAAAACTACTGTCCGACACTTTTTATCAATTTCGAGATTTTTGATTCAAATTAAAATACAGGTCGATATCTATATGTAATTCGCTTTTTACCCTATGTTAATATAATAATTTATCAAGATAATTTAACTTGAATACAACCCAATTTTTTAATAGTCATGTTCTAAAAATAGATTGACAAAGATTGATTAGGTTGGTCAATCAGTGTTTTATAATCACATGACGTTGCACAGACAAATAATAGCCATTTTCTCAAAATGAAAACCCCCTTCAGACCTAGTCCATAACCCAATAGTCATTGTTAGTCTTCGCCAGTAAATGAGAGTTTTAAGAAACCACCAGACCTAATATTAGTCATCGCAGCAAGTGAAAATTTTAAAAACCACCAAATTTAAGAGGATGCCTACCGCAAAAGTATCGATTTTGATAGATCTACGGTAGCTTTTTTGATAGATCTACAACACATACTAAATCTATGTTACGTT